TTAGGAAATTTTAAGGGAAATTTTTGTCTTCACTCGAAATCGATATTTTTCATCAACATTTATGTTAATCTGCAAGAATTTTTGAATTTGAGGCCATACAAAAAATTTCCCACAAAGGAAAATTTTTATTTTCCGGAATTTTAAGAAAATTTCTAAATTTTTAAAGTCTTCACGAAGACCCGAATTCTTTGGAGTGCTACAAGAAATATATTCTCCATTGAAAAGTAACCAAAAAAACTACAAAATATATTTTTTTCAATAATATCCCACTGGATGCTCATTTTGGAGTTTTTAAAATTCAAGTCTCATAGTTCCAATCCACCACTGTATTTCTATATGCATTATTTCTAATATATTTCTTGTTTTTGTTGTTATTATTGGACGTTGTTTTTTTTTCTCCGCTTCTAATTGCGTTCAATGTTAAGTGGTAAAACTTGAACTCAAAAGTCAAACACACTGCAACAAATGCTAAAATGCTGTTGGCTAATTGAGCTGCTGAGACAGGAGAGGGAGAAAAACACACACACAACACCAAACAAAAAAATCAGACAAAATAAATTGCCAAGATATTCTAATAATTTTTAATTAGCATTACAACATATTATTTTTAATTAACCTTGCAGGTTGTTCGGAATAAAATTTATTGGAAATTTAGAGAAAAAAAAAAAAACATTTACAAATCAAAACTAACAGATTTTTAATTAAATAATTCAGTTTTGAAAAGGTAGGAGGCAAAGTCTAAGATTTTATAGTTTGATTGAAGTCAATTGCAGGGTAATGTAGCTCCAAATGATTTTGTTAGCGAATGAAATGAAATGATTGGAAGGAGGAAGGAGGTATAAAAATGAAATATTTATCCCCCCCCCCTTTTTTTCCCCATGGCATGACCCCTTTTAGTTGCATTTTTTTTCTGCCTTCCTGTAAAATATTTTTAATTTTTGAAATTTTCTTTCGTTAACGCAATCAATTTGACGTTTATTTGCATTTCTGTAATTTTAGTATTTTTTGCCTCTTGTTGTTGTTGCTTTCCTTATAATATAAACCATAATGGCTGACGCCTTAAAGGCCGCCTATTTTTAAAATAACATGTGCAATTTTTATTTTTATTTTTTTTTTTTTGTCGTTCTTGTTCTTGGGCATGGCAGCATTGCTATTTAACACCAGCATGCAGTTGTTGTGGGTCTTAAGAGCAACAAAAAAAAGGAATACGGTGTACTTTTTTTCCTTGTTTTGGTGTGGATGGTTTTAATTTTAATGCACCATTCAACAGCAGCAACAACAACAGCAAAAATGTCTACAAAACAATTTGCGCATGGCGACGTTAACATTTGTAGGCGACAATTCATACAATTTCACCAAAAACAAAGAGACATAGAGACTGGCAGGCGGACAGACATACAAATGCATGGATGGATGGCTGGCTGGCTGACTGGTTGGTTGGTAGGTTGATGGAACGGACGGACAGCAATTCACAGCCTAAATTTTTATATTATGGCAAGGCAACACGTTCCAGTAAACTTCATTTAAACAAAACAACGCACTCACACACACACACTCTCAAAGAGAGGATAAGTGTTTTCTCCTCCATGAAAAGAATTTCAAAAACTTGTCATGACAACAAACCAACCAACCTTCCAGCAAAGTACCCCTTCGTTATAGTACTGCACTCTAGTTTCTTTGCACACATTTAAATATACACATGTATATGTATATGTATGTGTATGTTCATACTCCTACGAGAAACCCTCAAGACCCTGTCGCTGCTCTGCTGAATGTTTATAACATTTTAAAGTATGATTTGAAATAAATTTGCTTTTAAATGCTATGCCAAGTTTAAACAAACAATCAACATATTTAGTTTTGGGACGACCCTCACTACACCCGCCAAACTCCCTGCCTGCCCTCCTCCTGTCCCTTTAGACAGCAATGCAAAATAAACTAAAACACACTCTAGGTGTTGTCCCGTCTGCAAAGATACAACAGCAAAAAAGTCTAATGTCTTCAACAACACCAACGACAACAATGCAACGACGGTTCTACACCCCTGATGACAGGCCAACGACAAATATCATATCGCTCTTCCAACAACTGCATTTTTTTCAATTTTTTTTTTATTTTTGCGAACCATGTTATGACTGTCTGTCTGCCCTCCTCCGGGGTCTTGACGCTCGCTATGTAGATACATATGATGGGATTTTGTTGTTTTGCAAAAAAAAACGTAATTTTTGCATTTAACATATGTTTTTAACAGTGGGGATGGATGGATGGATGGTTGGATGAATTGTCTTTGCTCTTCAAAAAACCATATAGAGAATTGTTATGCAGTCATTCAGTCAGTCACTCACTTCATTAGACAGGGCAAGTCACTGTAGCCTTTCACATGCACAAGTATATAGACATGGCAGCAGTAGTTGGTGTTGTTGTTTGTTCGTTCTTCTGTCTTAAAGGCGTGACAGTAATTAATTATTGTGTTGTATGGTAAATTAATAAATGAAATGGACTTTGTCTCAAAATGACATTCATATGCATTTCACACTTATGCTGTAATAATTAAAATAACAACAAAAAAAAGAAGGAATGCAAAAACAAACCAAAAAAAATGAACAAAATGTGGAGAACACAGAACTTATGCACAGGGGAGCTGGAGGAAATGGATGTCCAAAATGCAATAAAACTAAATATTTGAAATAAAATATATGAAATTGTTTGTTTGAATTGCAGTTAATTACTTTGATATTTTTGCCAAAAAGTAGGCAATAGGATTGAAAACGTTTCAAAGAGAAATAATTATAACAATTTGAAAGTGTGTGTATAGGGTCTAAAATAATGCAAATCAGATGCTAAATTTGAAGTTTATCATCAAAAATTGTTATTTAAAAAATATTGTCTAAAAGTAGTTTTGCTAAGGCATTTTAAGACATTTGGCAATTCTAAAAATAACAAATAATAATTTGTGGGTAGTATTTTTGGAAAATTATAAAGTTTTTCCCCAAAAGTATGCTTCCAAATTTTCAAATATAAATTATCAATTATTATATAACCGCTTTATATTCTGCTTGTGTTCATAAAGCATAGCTTTGAATAATACACCTAAAGTATGCTTCTCTCTTTTGATTAAGCGTTATAGGATATTTTTGTGGGCAATAATTAAAATTTCATCATATTTGTGTTATTTAAATATATATAAAAATAATATTAATACTCATTTTATCAAATATGAAAAAGTTCTCCTGAAAGTATGCTTCATAAATTTTTAATTTCCATTTTAAGCTAAAAGCTTACTTTTTTATTTAGGTCCAATATTAGGTATTCTAGTATTGACAATTGTTAACTTCACAGCTTTTCACATTATTTGGGAATATGTGTAGCCTAAAAGTATGCAACATTTCTTAAAAAATAATTCTTTATATAAAGACATTTTGAATTTATTATTTCCATTCTAATGGCTTAATTTTTTTATTTTAGTCCCATATTAGGCATTCTAGTATTGACAATTGTTAATCTCACTTCAAAATTGTAAATTTTCGTGTTAAAAAAACAAAGACTCAATAAATTTAAATTTGAAAAAAAATTGAAATTTGGGAATATGAGTAGCCTAAAAGTATGCAGCATTTTTTTTTTTTTTTTGAAATTGTATTTTTTATAAAGACATATTCAATTTATTATTTCGAAAGCTTCGAAAGGATGCATTACCTGACACGTGGTCTTCAATTGACATAGAACATCAGTATTAAACAAGGCTACAGATAATTCCGAGTACGAATGTAGTAAATAGGTTCTATATTGGCTTAAATATGAAAAATCTTTACATGGTTCCCGTAATGTTATATGGAACAGAAATCAGAGGAAACAGTACCTGTACTACTTAAGGCCATAAAGACAAAATTTTTCTGCAATAGCCACCCAACTAAAAATTATTATAAAATAAAGTATATATTTTTTATATTTCCTTTTTTTCCCTCCCCTCCCAAAAGTATGCCAGCTGTTTGATATTAATTTAGGTTCTCCTCCATTCTGTTCCCAATAACTAATAACCAATGTAACCACCTTCCATTTGCAATTGAATTTCCCTATCTGTAACAAAAAATCTAATTACGTGGTGACCCTTTACGGAGAACCCCTTCAAACCTTGCTTTCATTACATGTTGTGCTTAAAACTTAATTTCCACTTTTAGTTTTCATGCTGCTCTACTCTTCTTTACTATGGCTTATGAGTTTGTTGTTGTTGATTTTTGTTGTTATTATTATTATTGCTGTTTGTTGCCATTATCTTGGTGTTTTGTAGTTTTGTTTGATGGCTGACTGACTGAATGTCTTGAAATGCTGGTGAATGACGGCGAAAACGGCTTCGACGACGGCGACGACTAAGTCTCAATTCATTTTAAGAAAAGGGGGACGTGCCAACAGAAATTTCAAAGTCTTGAAAACAAAAAACTTATTGCTTCAACATGACTTGGTTGGTTGGCTGGTTGATATGTTTGTTGGCGGTTTTAAGCCGCCCCAGCTGTCTGGTGGCTGTTGGATTGGTACGCAAGCGCGCATAACTACAACATGTATGGAGGGAGGGGGCTTTCATACTAGTGTTGCTGTTGTTGTTGTTGCTGCTGTTATTATTATGTTGCATTATTATTGTGTCTGCAGTAAAAGCCTGTTTTAGTTGCGTTCGCTTGTTCGTTCATTCTTTCTTTCTGTTTTTGGATAATTATAGGCTACTAAACGGTTAATTATCGACATTTAATATGGCAGTCGTTTTGTTTGGTTGGCTGGCTGGCTGTTTGGTTTGGTTTGGTTTGCTTCGATTCCATTTGCCTTCATATGGCTTATTTTCACTACAGGTTTGTGTAATGCCAATGATGGAGGGTTAGGTTTGCTGTTGTTTTTTGTTTCTTTTTCGTTGTTGTTTGTATTTTTTATTAAATACAAAATGGCGTTGCCTTTTCTAGATGACTAGCCATAGTGAGACATAATGCAAAAAAAAAGCAACAAAATATGTAACTTACCGTTAAATGCTGAAACAGCCACGCTCTTAAGATATTTGTTGCTACTTTTGGGAAAATGCCACGTTTCTTTTGGTTCTTTTTGCCATTTGCATCGTCATCCTCTTCACCCGTACCTTCCCCGCTGCCTATACTGGCATTGCTGGCATCGCCTGGAATAAATAGAGAAAAAATATGAATTTTATTTATAATAATAAAAAATGATATTTTTCTGTATAAGGAAATAAAATAAAATAAAAAATAGATTAAAAAATAATTGAATAAATAACAAAAAATAAAATAAAAAACAGATTAAAAAAATAATTTAATAAATAAGAAATCAAATTTAGGAAAGCAAGATTTATTTCGTATTTTTTTTTTTTTTTTTTTAATAATAAAACAAAATATAAAAAACACAATAAATGCTATTTTACTATATAAGAAAATAAAATAAAAAATATATTTAAAAAAAATAATCGAATAAATATAAAATAAAATTAAGGAAAGCAAGAGTTATTTCGACATTTTTTGTGTTTTAATGATAAAATAAAATATAAAAAAAATTATACAAATATTTTAAGCGAATAAAATAAAAATAAAATTTAGGAAAACAAGAATTATTTTCTTTTTTTGTATTTTTTTTATAGGCATAAATAAAATTTTTTATTTATAAATTTTTTTTAACCCCAAAATGTTCAATTTTAAGCCCTGTACTTTCCTTGCTGCAATGGAAAAATATTTATAATATTTTTATGCTAAAGAGAGGGGTGAAAAACACAACAAATTATGTGGCTGGCATAAAATGAAGGGCTTTTTGTTACATATATTTTTTTTTTTTTTTTGCTATAATATTTTTTTTTACATTTATTTCCTGCTGCGTTTGTGGTAACCGCAATGAATTAAATTGGGTTTTTCACAATAATGATGAGTACCGGAATTTTTTACACCATGAGCATTTAACTCGTTTGAGGGTAGGAAAGGTTTTTTTTTTTTAAAACACGACTACAGTGAAATATTTAAAGGTAATTTCAGATCAAAAAATTAAATTTCTATGAAAATCTTGCTATGAGATATATTTTCATCGAATTCCCACTTTATCCAGGTCTTCATATTTGAAATATAAATTTTGGGAAAATTTGAATTTTTCTGAAATTACTTTCTCTTCACATTCATCAAGTCCCCACTGTAGCTAGGTGCATTTATTTGTAATTATATATGAAAATATCATATATATAACCATAAATTAATCAGAGAAACAGCAAACTCCATGGAATGTAGCGGTAAAAAAGCTCAACAATTTTTATTATCCACTTTTTTCACTGTTTGCTTTTTAATTAAAGCCAACAATATTTTTCTGCATTCTGGGCTGTTTACTCTCCTCTCTCCCTCTTCTCCCTATGTAGAGGGGAAAGAGCTTCATATAACCCCTCTCCAAAAAGAAAACCACAAAACTATAATAAAATGTAACGTAAAATCCAGTGAGTGCAAGGAAAAACAATTTTCAAAATAAATTGTGAATCAAAAAAGGACCAGCTAAAAAGAAAATCTAATATTTTTTCACATCACACATAGTAGCTGCAGAAATAAGGCAAACCAACTCCGTGCGAAAAGAAAATCACAAAATTTACTGCAAATTGGAATTTTTCGTGTAGCTAAGGAGGAGGGACGGGTGAGCCTGGCTTGCTGCATTCTGGCCCTTGTGATGCAATGTAGGAATAAATAAAAAGTATATTTTGTTACTCTGGTTCTTCTTCTCTTTTTTCTTTAGATAACTTAATGCAATTATGTATACGTCCTTCTAAGGCATGTGGAGAGGAATTAAATTAAAGAAATTATTTTTTTTTCAAGGAGTAAAAATATAGGGAGCTTTTAGGGAAATAATTACAAAATGGGAAGGAGTTGGTTACAATTAATTAAAAATATGGAGAGAAAATTTAAAAAAAAATAAGACTGGTGGAGGGTTATTTAAAAAAAATTAAAAAATATTTTCTTTAAATAGGAGAAATATGAGGAATTTTTTTAGGGAAGAATTACAAAATGGGAAGGAGCTGACTATGATTAATTTAAAATCCGAAAGAGAACTTTAAAAAAATAAGGCTGGTGAAGGGGAATCAAGAAAAAAATTAAAAAAGTATATATTTTCTGTTAATAAGAGAAATACGGGAAAATTTTTAAGGGAATAATTACTAAATGGGAAGGATCTGCCTATAATTAACTTAAAACCCAAAAGAGAACTTTAAAAAATAATAAAATATTAATTAGTTATAAAACACCAGTTTTATGGTGGCCACAAACACTTGAACCGTTTCTAATATCCCCCCAAAATATTTAAAAAAAAAAACTTTTTCTTTTTCAAATCCAAAAGCCTTTTAGCTTATCTTTCAAATGAAGTGTTTAGATTCTCATGAATCCATTTGGGCCACCAAGATATCAATAAAAAAAAAATATTGATAGTGGATTTCCATTTCCCTCGCATAATTTGTTTTAAATTTGTGAATTCGAATTACAAATTTAAGACTTTGTACTCTTCCCCCGCCCCCTCCAAAAAAAAAAAGAAAATACCAAAAATTACTATTATCTTGGAAAAGCCCTTAAGTGAAAAATACTTGAAAATCACTTGTAATGTCAAGATATTTTCCACTTCTCCCTCAGCCATGTATATTGCACTTATATATGCTGTGTATTAGCAACAACAACAACGACAAAAAATAAGATGGATGAGCTATCTACTTGCCCGGCTGGCCAAAGGTTCCATCCATACCGATGCCAATGCGGAAGATGATGACGATCAAGTGGCTTTTGCACATCGTTATTATAATAATAAGCAACACGCCTTTAAAGATTAAAACTATGTTCGAATATAGCTATACACCACCACTTCAATGTATGGCTGGGATATTCAAGTGGCCATAATCTTTATGTTCTTGTTCTTCTGCTTCAATTTTATCCAGCCATATAAACTCAAGTATAGAGGAATTATGTTATATTCTTGATTTTGGTTTTGTGAATGCCTATTAAAGTGTTGTTAAAGTGCTGAGATTTTTTTCTGTGCCTTTACTCAAGTGCTAAATTTTCTTCTACAAGTACTCCATATTATTATTATGTAAGTTTTCAGTTTGCAGATAAGAAATGTGGCTTGGAAAATCAAAACATTAATCATTTGCCAAAGGGAATGAATTTTGGAGAGTAAGAAAACTTGAAGAGATCTTTGGGAAGGGGTTGTGGTTAATGTCAACGAAATGGGGAATTATTTATATTCTAAAAAAAAAAAAGAGAGAAATAAGTTGGGGAAAATTGGGGAGGGGGTATTAAAATCATATTTTTAATTTAATATTTTTTTCTCATACCAAAAACCCATTTATATATTTTTTTCTGAAATCAAATATTTACTTTTCCAAATTTCTTCCCATCCTTGTTTTCTTAGCTAACAAAGCCATGAAATTAGCCTAAGCCAACACCTTCAAAGCCATGGTTATGGTTACCACTCAAGCTTGTCATTTTTTGAAATGTTTTCCTAAGACCCTACCAAAAATGTTTGCTGGGCCCAACACCACACATCATACATCATCAACATCTCTATTATTATGTGGATGTGTGATTGTTTATCTCGCCCCAAAACCCATTATTTCACATTACAATTGTTTAGTTTTGTTTGCTTTGTTTTGTTTATTTTTTTCTCTCTCCTCCCGATCTCTATTGTTGTTGCTGTTATTGGTATAGTTGGCTTTAAAATTAATATTTGTCATTAAAACCAGAAAACTTGGCCATATTACAAACATTGGGATGCCATTGTTTTAAACTGCTCCATATGAATGGAGCCTTACTCAAATAGGGAGAGAGGGGGAGGGGGAGTGAGAGGGAGTTGTGAATATTAATGCCAATGATGACAATATTTGTTGTTGTTGCTGCTATGCCTAAAGCTATTTATGGTCTATTGGAGAGTTGGTGTTTTGTTGTACAAGTAAATATGCTGTTGCTGTTGTTGATGTTTGCATAATTGTTGGTTAATTTAAGAACAACAATGGACTCTGGGTGATTCTTTTGTTAAGGAATAGGGGGTATTGAAAGTGGGCTTACAAAACTGCTATGGGGGAGAAGGGGGAGACATTTCAGAAAATAACATATGTTAAATTTAAAGAAATAAAAATGCATAGTGCATACTTTTAGGCTTTTAATTTTAAATTTAAAAAACATTGTGTCGTGCATACTTTTAGGGACTTGAATCAATATTTTTATCGACGATCTGTCATCTGTTTTTCTTCTGTCATATGTCTGTCACTTTGTTCTCAATAGCGTTTGTCAACACTTAATGCCTACTTTTAGGAATCTTATTAATTTTATTGAATTCCCTTCAAAATTGTATGCATACTTTCAGGAGAATTTTTGAACTCTTATTATTTTTGCATATTTATTATTGTTATTACTATTATTATTATTATTAATTTTATTATTATTATTATTATTATTATTATTATTATTATTATTATTATTATTATTATTATTATTATAATTATTATCATTATTATCATTATCATTATTATTATTATTATTATTATTATTATTATTATTATTATTATTATTATTATTATTATTATTATTATTATTATTATTATTATTATTATTATTATTATTATTATTATTGTTATTATTATTATTACAATATTGTAAAAATTGTAACTATTTTGATCTCTATAGCACTTGTCAAAGTTTATAGCCTAATTTTAGCAGTTTTGTTAATATTTTTAAATTTCCTCCAAATTGCATGCATACTTTTAGGGCAATTGGAATTCTCATTATTTGTTTTGCATCTTTGGAATGAAAATTCATTTCCATTTAAATTTCAGGTATAAGAAGCTGATGCACAATCTTGGGATCAGTTATTAAGTTTTTCTCACTTTCAGATGCCAGTGTTTGAAGTATTCTTTTAGGAGTTTTATAAAATTTCTTTAGAATTGCACCCTTAACATTTTTTGAGTTTCGTTGAAATCGCTGAAATTTTACTTTATATTTTCCTTATTATAAAGAAATCTTTTATCTACCAAAAATTTAGGCATGCATACTTTTGGGGGTCCATTTAAATTCTTCCATTAAATATTTCCTTAAATTATGAAAAATTTGTGGAAAATATATAAAAATATATTTTTCTCATTAACCTTATCTCAAACTGTCCTCC